GACATAAGAGGCAAAGATAAGCGAGGGTAGGAGACGTGTGTGAACCGATCCTGTCAATGAACCAACAGGAGAGACTGACAGATACAAAAGGAGAAAGACATGAAATTGTTGAGGAGTCTGGAGGAAGGTATTCTTAGGATGTGCCACATAAAGTCCCCGTGCTATAAACAGACCTTGGATCGAGGGAGTGAACCTTGAAGGAMCTCAAAGCGAAAGGCCATATTCCCACGAAACTACAGGTTTTTCTGTCACATTTTTTTTACGTAAATAAAAAGGGTACAAACAAGTTTTTCTTTTTCTATTTTGGTGTATTCTGGGGATCAGGAACAGCAACGACAGACAGGAAGCTGCACACAGAACCACAGCCAGGACCAAAATATTAGGCTGCATCACAAGAATGGTAATAACAGACAGGAGGGTGCTCTGTGATTAGGTTAAAAGCACAGTTACAGCCAACAAAGATGCTTCCACCGTGCATATGAGCCCAGAACATTGATGCTAGGCCCCACCGTGCTGAGATGGAACGCRTCCTCTCCAGTCACCCACCTTTGCTTGCAAAGCAAGGCCGTCTGTCCTATCAGCATCAAGTTTTTCACTTTGTCTACCTTATTTAATGAGCGAGTCACATGACCTGACATGGCTTTCATACAGGAGTTTTATTAGACCATAAATCCTCATCATAATCTCAGAAAACATCTATGATTTATGATTGTCTTTATTTTTAAATGGTCATATATAATAAGGTTTCTGTAGATCTATACAGTCATGAGAAACAGAAAGTCCACTCAGTTTCAGTTATAGGATTTTATGTCACTGGACAAAGCGTGGAGTCTGATCTTTAACCAGCTGTAAAGTTATTCCAGTCAATCTAGTGTACAAATAAAAACACACAATCAACAAAAAATAGGCCAAAATGAAAAAGCTGTGTGAAAAACTGCGTCCACCTCATTGTTCAGTACCTTGTAGAGCCACTTTCAGCAGCCATAAACCTCAATAGTTTGTTTGCTTGGCTACATCAGTCTCTCACATSATTGTGGAAGAGTTTTACATTTCTTCTGTTTACTCAAGTTAGAGAAGTGTTTCCCAAAGTNCTTCCACTTTGCAATTATCACAATTAATGCCATGCGATGACGTACYTTTGTGTGCATCACACAGGTGGAAGGCAGCGTGAATGAAWACTTGTTTACCGGTAAAATCACCTYAAACACRGAAGGAAAGACAGAAAATTCAGGCCAAGGCTAAAACACTGGCCACATGCAGGTGRYATTATCATCTATTAATCGTCAATAAWGCTACAATTAATTGTGCTACCGTGTTTTGTCAATCATGGCCCAACACTAATTTCTGCACAGCTCTTTTTCGGTTCCACCACAGCAGCTTGGGATTCGGCTGCAAGAACCAAAAACATCACACCTCCACCACCSTGCCAGACAGTTGGTATGAGGTGTTTGTACTGATACAACCCCTCTGAACAAGCCCTAAACCTGAACCTTTATCCCGCTGACTGAGATGAAGCTCTTGGGGCACTGCATGGTCTGACCTTGGGGTGGATTTCCTGGCACGTCCACAACTGGGAAGACTGGAAACTATCTAAATCAGAGTTCCTACAGTTTAAAGCAAGTTAAATTCAAGACTTTTCAATGCCAACTGAAATTAAATTTAAGACCAATTTCATAATAAACACAAATGACAAAAAAACTGTAGCAGAAGCTCATGAATCAAAGTATTTTTGGTTGAAGTATTCAAATATTGCTAATAGAGTAGACCAATTGTCTTTATCTATTATCTAACTGCTTTTTCGTCAAATATAGCAAAAACATTCTTAGCAGTTTAACAAGCCAAATTAGTTTTAGGACCCACAGCAGGGTCTTAACCCCAATTTGRTGTAGATGAAACCTTAAAGTGCCTGTGACGTCAAATGTTTGTAAGAAAAGTGAATGAATTTTTGAAAAGACAACATTATTAACATATTACAGGATTAATTTCACTTTGCTCAGATGGACAGTTGTTGAGCAATTTGCATGTGAAATAACAGGAAGTGATGTCAAAGGGGACTGTCTCCATTAAAAAAAATAAATGTTACCAATTATTTTAATATTTGAGATGAATTACAATCATCCTATTTACAATGCGTTCACATTTTTAAGACTTCAGAAAGATTGATTTAAGACATTTTCAGGCTAATTAAGGCCTTATTTTTGGAGTGATGAACTCAATGCCTTTTAAGACTTTTTAAGGATCTGCAGGACCCCTGTAAATGTTTTCCCACACGTGAATAATCTCTCTATGTAGTTATTTTTAATGTCTTCGACCCTTTTTTCTCCTATGGAAGCAGCAACGGTGAACTTGGTTTTTCACTCACAGCTTTTCCAGTTTTGCTTTGTTCTTGTTTGAAATYTGATCCTGTGATGGAATCTGACGTGAACCCAGTAAAGGTCAAACCATTTTTATGATGTCCTGGTAACTCTAGAGTGTTCAAAGAGTGGTCTTTATTTTTTCCCAGGAGCGTATGCCAAAGTGTCATCACGTTCACGAGGAAGGAAGTGACGATGCAAACAGAAGCTTACACGTTATTCTTTCGGTCTAACTTGATGAATGACTGTGCAAAGCAGAGCTGACAGACTTACTGTTATTGGACTTGAGGTCCCGGTGGATGACGGGAACGATGGCCTCGCTGTGCAGGTACAACATCCCTCTGGCTATCTGCACGGCCCAGTTGACCAGGACGTGGGGCGGGATGCGGCGGCCCGCCAGCGCCCGGCTCAGCGGCCCCCCCGAGGCGTACTCCATGATGAGGCACATGTTGGGCTCCTGCAGACAGACGCCCTTCAAGGCGATGATGTTGGGGTGCGTGAGCATGGCGAACAAACGGGCCTCCTGCCTCACATTCTGCGCCGTCACGCTGATGTCCTCGTCGGGGTCTTGGCGAGCCGCCTTCACGGCCACCAGCTCGTTCCTCCATGTGCCTCGGTACACTTTGCCGAAGCCCCCAACGCCGATTACCTCCTCCAAGCTCAGCTCCCGGAAATCCACCTCCTCTGGTTCGAAATCGCCGACCACGTCGTGGTCCAGCTCGCCCACTACGCTGCTCCCTGGAAGTTTTGCGTATCCACTCGGCTTGAAGGAGCCATAGTTGGATGGGAAGATGCCCACCTTGTTGTTGACCTTACCCGCCCACCAGCCCTCATCCCCTGATATCTCAGAGTCCTGAGAGAGGACCTCCACCAGGTCACCTTTYCGTAAGGTGAGCTCATCTTTACAGGAAGCCTCGTAGTCGAACAGGGCCGTCCACACCGGATTGGTGAAGTTCCCCTTCTGGGACTGCTCCAAGTTTTTCCAGTTCGACAGCGAGCCACGATTGAATATGTTCTTCAGCGGCTCCATGGAGCCTCGCGCAGGTGTTCTGACTGGACCTGATCTAGCACCAAAGGAGTTAGAAAATAAAGTACAAAGGAGTACTTTATTGCACCTCGCTCCCTTTCCTGTCTTTCTTGTTGGCTCATCGGGAACCCATGAAACGTGTTCAAAAGTCAAAGCGACAAGTAGGCTAAGGGTTCAGAGACAAACGAAAGCCAAGTGTCTTTCGTTGGGCTTGAAAATAAATGGAAAACTTTCCATTTCAGGGTGGGGGGGCAGCTTTGCTTTTCTGACAGCCTTTAAGACAGCACAGACTCCATTCAGTTTCTCTCTAGGTGATGTGGTGTGTGGTAGGCAAGCACCATATTTCATCAAACTTTTYTTTTCAAGTCTTGAAGCACCTCATTATGGCTGAATTTGCGTTTTTTCTCATTCAAACCTACACCTGTTGAGCTCTACTCGTAAAAAAAAATTAAGAGTTTCAGGACAATAATATACAAAACACTCCAATTTGTCGCTGTTGCCACTCCAGATCAACATTTCCCAAACTTTTGGCTGTCCATGTTGCGTTTTTATGTATTTTTAGCCATTAAGTGCAGTTGGCCACCACAAGCAGGAAGTGCCGAGAAGCGGAGAAGAATAGCAGGAAACGAGCATTCAGTTCAGCCAACCAGTGCTTTACGACAAGTTTCAAGCGCTGACCACTTGGCACTCTCAAACCCAAATATCCATTAACTGCGTCTGAACGCTGCTTTGCGGCGGCCCCCGCTGGAAATCCCGCAGCCGTGTTTGCGCGACGGTCTCCATCAGGCTCGTCGGTGTGAGGCGGGCTTTTAATAATCGCGACTTGTCGCAGAAAGCACCGACTCTGTCAACAGGAAGAGCTCTCCAAACCTGCTCGCCACTCCGCTTTGACTTTTCCCAAAAGAGAAACACGCCGAAGTTCAAAAACAAAGCTCCGCTCCGTTCCCGGTGGGAGTTCAGCAGCACTCGGTCCGGTCCACTTCGGTGTCCGAACAGCACCACGGCAATAACAACAACTCCATGATAAGAACTTCTTCTGATAACACGTCCTCTCCTCGGGCAGCGCCGTCTGGTCAGGTCCTCGCACCACTTCAACGTCGAGGAGGGGTGGGGCTTCAAAACTTTTTTTTCTKGTCTCCCAACAGGATGACGAGAACCGGATGCTGTTAAGCAAAACAAGCGCAGCTTCCGGTTTACAAAATAAAACTCGTAAAARGATCAACTTCATTTTCTGGAAAAACAAAAACAAGTGGTTCTCGTGAGATTTTAGAAGCAATTAATTAATATKTTATCTGTCGTAGCAGATAAATACAAGTATGGAAGCCCATTTCCGCCACCCTGATAAAAAATAAATAAAACTTGTATCTCATAATTATGACTCAGCTATCTCATAATTAGGAGATAGCTATCTCATAATTATGAGATAGTATCTCATAATTACGAGATAGCTATCTCATAATTATGAGATAGTATCTCATAATTATGAGAAGTCATAATTATGAGATACTATCTCATAATTATGACTTAGCTATCTCATTATTATGAGATACTATGTCATAATTATGAGATAGCTAAGTCATAATTATGAGATACAAGTTTAATTTTTTATCAGGGTGGTGGAAATGGGCTTCCATATATAAGTGACTAACTATCCGAGTTTGGACAATTACAGGTAAATTRTTTCTCATGCTGAAAACTGAAGATGAAAGCTGCTGAAAATATTTAATAGCAAAATTGTTCATGTGAGCTCACTTTGAAAAGCTAAAAGAAAAAAAAAGCCCAACCTTGCAGAAAACAGTAAAATGGAGCACAAATCTAGTTGAAAATAACAGAAAACAGCTAAAAGCTAAAATAGCTGAAAATGGCTGTAAGAAAATAGCACAAATTAGCAGAAAAAAACACAAAGTTGAAAACATCAGATATTTTTATTCTAACTTAAGCTTGGATCATTTTGAACAAAACGACATGCAGAGCTGCTTCACAGTGCCACCCACATTGCTTCTCGTGAACACACCCACCCACAAAGTTCTGACCAACCCCACATGTGAGCCAAAAGGTCAGCAAAACTCTGCATCACAGGGTTCTGACTGGGGGCAATGCACARGATGAATGTCACCAGGGCATAGCAGGATAGCAGACGGAAGTTACGCATTTTTCCATCAAACTAAATGGTTATTTGTAAGTAGCAGCAGCTAGTTGTTAGCACGTCTGGTGGAGCAGGCCTGAGTGGCATGTGACAAGAATGTCTATTTCTGCTGGACTAACTGTAATACAAAACCAATGAAGGTATGAGTTTATAAAGTAATGTTAGATTGACTTCTTATAATAAGCAGTAAAACCCTGGTATTGGCCTTGCTCAACTAGTTAGCTCATCAGGATACAGCGGGTAAAATAAGTATTGAACACGTCACCATTTTTCTCAGTAAATATATTACTAGAGGTGCTAATG